GGGGACAATGTGGGGTGGTACTGGGGAGTCACTGGGAAGGGGGGTTGACAACATGGGGTGACCCCGTGTGGGCGTGGGGACAGGAGGTGCCCTGCACACTGGTGTGTGTGGGGGAGAACACATGGAGTGTCTGTCCCCACGTATGCGTGGGGACTCACAGGGTACAGGGCTGTCCCCAGGTATATAGCAGGACCTAAGACATGTCCCCCTCCTGGAGACGTCCCCTCTCAGCTGTGCCCCACGGTGACACAGATGTCCCACATCCCTGTCTCCCCACCATCCTACCCACGTTCACAGATGAGCTCGACGACGCTGTGCTCCATGGGGACGGGGTCGAGGCAGCGGTGGGCGGGGCGGGCCGGGGCCAGCCCCTCCCCCACCCGCTCGTCGGCGGCGAAGCGCCAGAGGTAGAGCTGCAGGTAATGGCCGTCCACCTGCACCTGCTGCAGCCCGAAGCGCCCCAGCGTCCGCAGCCGCACGCACTCCAGCAGCGTCTTCAGGCTGATCTTGATGATCCCAGTCAGCACCGACACCTGGGATGTGGGGACAGCAGGGACACATGGCACAGGGATGCCCCCCAGGGCAGGAAGGCCCCAAGTCACATCTGCACAGGGATGTGGGGACATTAGGGACATGTCTCTCCAGGCCATCAGCTCCTAGGACACTCTAATCCTGGTCACCAGTCCCCAGCGACCCCCCCAAGTCCTGACACACAGGACAGGGGAGCATCAGGGGACAGTGGGAACACCCTTGTCCTGGTCATCAGCTCCTGGGGAACCCCTGGGTCCCAACACCTGGGTCATGGGGACAGGAGGGACACATGACAGCTGAGAAAGGGGGCAGTTTAGGGACCCTGGGGACATTTGGGGCTGTAGGGATGTCCCTGTGGCCTCACCTTGTTGAACTCGACAGGGCTGAAGATGTCAATGCGCTCGGAGAAGAGCTTCTGGATGTTGCTGAGCAGGTGGGTGTCCATGGGGGCACTGGGGATGGTGACACCAGGACAGTCAGGGACATGGGGACAGTCAAGTATTTCAGAAAGCCAGGGGATGTGGGGACAGGGACACAGGGACTGTCAGGAGACATGGGGATGGGGACACAGGGATGGTCAGAGGATACAGGGATGGTCAGGAGATACTGGGACTGTTCGGGGACACAAAGACATGGGGACACCATGAGGGTCATGGGGAAGATGTAATGGTTACCACAGGGGTGACACAAGGAGCACAGGGGTGACAGGGTGGCTCTGGGGTGGCCGAGAGGCGCGTGGGTGACAGGACAGACCTGGGGGTGTAGCTGGGGGCGTAGCGCCCGGGTGCCCGCGAGCTGCTGTAGACGGAGAAGGCGCGCCGGCTCGAGTCGCTGCTCTGCGCCC